AATTATTACAGCCGACTTACCATTGTCACGACTATTGATCACGTGACTACAGTCGCGTCCCATTTCTCCCTGTTACACTATTTAATCTTTCTTGTTATCTGATTTGGGTATAGATGGCGTCCGTTTGGTTGGGATATATTTATATTTTGTGACGGTTAATTGAAATTCACAAATAACGGAGTTTTAAAATACTATCTCTCCGTAAATGTGAAAGAAGGATGTGTATTACGTACAATATTATTATTATTTACAATATACAGTAATGCAGTGTCATTGATTTTTACTCGACAATTAACTCCTCGATTTTCCATTTTCGGATATGAAGTTGGGTAAGACAAGTATTGACTGTTTTGAGTATTTATAAAAATTCTATATAGTATATAACAGACTTTTGGATGTTGGAACAACGAAATTAACGAAATTCTTGCCAAAGTATTCATGCACAAGTGCATTTAATATCATTAGAATATATATAGTCATACCGTATAATCGCGAAATAACACTCGCCTGTGCGTTATTTAATTCACCAGTGCGTTATTTAATTTACCAGTGCGTTATTTTGAGAACATCTATGTGAGTCATTTTAAAATAAAGCACGAAATAACACCCAGGGGTGTATTTTTATATTTCGGCCCGAACTAAGTCCAATTCTGGTCAGAATCACATTATTCAGATGCGCGTTATATTGGGCGATATTTTGATACAATATATGCAATTTTTACATATCTTGATTTTTAAAATAACGCTCATGAGCGTTATTTTGCGCTTATACGATACAAAGTCTCGACTATTCTATTATGACATGGATACTGATGCCTATCAATACTTTAAAAGTGAGTATATGTAACAAAAAATAATAGGCATGATGCTTTTTTGTAAAAAAAAAAAAGATCAAAGGTAAAGACATTCGATCAAGACATAAGGGATGATATGATGTCACGGACAAGACGGAATCAGTCACTAAACCCATCTTAACCCACATAACCACTATCTTTATCATAAGTCTATTTGATACCCTCGATTTTAGTTGAAATAATGAGTCGATTAATTAACAAAGCGAGCAATTAGACTATTATTCACAAGTTATTGTACTTCTTACTATTCAATATAAATAATATAAATATACTGTATTCAAATAATTATGATACCTAATTATAGTATAACGACGACGATCACCCCTTTTAAGGATAACGCGTCATCGATGATTAACCAATCATAAAATTTCAAAATAATAATTGATTACATATTCACATGCTTAAAAAAAATAATGAGGATGTTATGAAACATAATATTCTATCGCCTTCAAAAAAACAACCTTCCACCAAATCATCTTTAGCCGATTAGTAAAAAGAGATTTCAGGAACAATAATAGAAGAATTCTTAAATATGCGGTGTTGTATTCTATCAAAAGACAGGCAAAAGGTCTTCGTGTCGTTTTTTGAATTCTTGACCCTGGAAAAGGCCTTCAATCTCTTCTGGTGTCATAGAGTTTGCCATCTTTTGGATTTGTTCTAAGCTCTGCAATCGCTTGAGATACGACTCCCGAGTTAAAAAAAGAGAATCGACAGTCAATTTATTATTTTCTCTTGATTGTCTGTGGTCTGTTAAGGAGTCGTTATTGGAGTTTGCTTGTTTATTCATATCCGTAAATAATTGTTAGGGTAAGAAAGAGATTACTTCTTTTCATCTTTTTTTTATCTCCTTTATATACAAAAGGTACTGCAGATCATATAGGCTAGGTTTGTTTTCAAGAAGTAATATTTGAGAAATAATATTAACTAAATATAGATAAAATAGATCAAACAGATGAAACGGATGAAATAGACAGTATTGCTAAAGTATATGTAATGGCGCAACAACCAACAAATGTAATTTATGCACATTATATAATATCATTAGACAAATTGTTGGATCGAACGTATATATTACTCGCCAACTCAAATGCATCATTAAAAACTTGTGGTTTTATATTGTGTCTCATTTAGGATCATATATGTACGAGATCTAACCGAGAACAGTTACCATATTGGAAACCCCGATAAAACAAACATTCACTCTCAAAAATCATGCCATTTATCATGTGGGTGAACGACAATCCAAAAAAATCAGTTTTATCTGATCCTTATCAACCATATCTGATTGTTTTTTGATTATTTGTATTTTATTAACTATCTATGATTTACCAAAAAAGGAAAATCTGATTACATATAAACTTATCAGATTAATTAGATAAAAATAAATGATTAACGAAAATTGAGAACGTACCATCGTGTGATGCCAAGATCAAAGTATGGTTGTAACAAAGTGAAGGTTCTGTGTTCAAAAATTCTATACCATATAAAGATAATACGACATAGCCTATAATATAACTGTCATTTGGATGAACGAAGCATTTGGTGTATGGTTCCAGGGAATAATAACTTGAGTACAATCGTTTGAAATCTCTACGGCATGAAATTTATCCTATCAATCCATCAACTGATAATTGTAATGTTTAAAGAATATGTCAAGAATATATATTTGGATAAAATAAAAACATTCTTTCATTGGGTTTGCGTAAGCATGTGAAGAAACGGTCGAATCAAAATCATATTTTAAATTACATTTGTAGTACATACTGTATGTGAACGGTTTGTTTACAAGGTACAATCTTTGCAATATAGATTTCTATTTGGTAACATAGAAACTTTTTTTTTAAATCTCTGAAATGAACTTCTGAAAGTTACAGAGTTAGTGTGTGTCAATCTAAGTGCGATACAAAATGCCTCCTTAATAACTTTATGCTATATTAATGCAACAAGAGAAAGGCATCAAAGAACTCTGATGATGAACCGGTGCGATTATTACCTAATATAATTTGCCATCGGACCTCCGTAATATTGTACAATCACAGCGCATTTATAAAACAAGACATTTGAGATGTGCTTCCTTTTTTACTTTAGATAAATAAAATTAAGAATCACTTCACTATAAATGCCACATATAAATAAACAATGATGAACTAATTTAACCATCAGAAGCTTGTTTGTATACTTGCGCACATGAAGATAAATTACGAATGAAAATTGTCCGAAAAAAAAAATTATTACGAATTATTACGCAACAAATGTGCTTTTCAAAAAAAAAAGGTAACCATGAACCGACTAATTGTTGACCATCAAAAGAGATCTAAACACTTATCGAACTGTCTTAACGACGATACTACGACGATATTGATAACATACAATATAAAATATATAGTATAACCTGTTTATTATTATCATCATAGTTGTTATTGATTAGCTTCAAAATAAAAACCAACGTTTTTAGTATGTCGATTGATTTTACAGTATTATAATTTGCGTAATGTGGTTTCCGAAAATAATGCATGAAGTGTAATGCACAATATTATTTCAATATTATATGGCGCTTATTTTAAAAAAAAATAAAAAAAAAAAGATACTGTAAATTGTTTAGCGTTTTCAAAATGTAAAAATTGATGTTATATTGGTTAAATTATGTTTATTGTTTTCTCCATTTGCAACCTCAACGATTTTTCATACAAATAAATATTGATATACCGTACTTATGTGCGCAAATACAAAAGGATCGAAAAGGCAAAAAAAAAATCATGATGTTTATTTCGACAAAGATTAGATTCTTTTTCATATGAAGTCGATAAAATGGATTTCATGTAATCGCATTAAGAAATCCCTTTATGTACAAAAAAGTATTCGATCATCTAATGATTTATGCAAAGGAGCCATTTCAAAAAAGTTTAACAATTCCAAGGAGCAGTATACAGTATGTGCTGGCATTGGGTACACAATCACACTGTACAAAAATGTTAATATTACACATTATTCGCCGCATAACGTTAGATCGTTAGATCGAAAATTAGATCCCCAACCAAAAATCGAAATGGTTAAATACTAAAGTGTAGGATTTTCATGCGCTTGCGTACGTGTTGCAGTGTAAACATTTACCTGCACTCTGTCGATCGGTATTTTTCTTATGTAACCGACAATCACATCGATATGTAGAGTACTTAAAGACATTGGTACCCTAGTATTCGTAAAAATTTTCAAAAAAAAATTTTTTAACTGTTTTTTCAACATAATGTCACACAATATTCATAGTTCCCGTTATTCTGATCTCCCAGACCTTCCGTTAAAACCTCCGACTTGGATGTATAAGAAAAAGTGTAAGCTAATTCACTTCTCTTATTCCCTAAGAAATCCTACATTTCAGCAGGGTTATCATGGCATACAACCTTCTTTCATTATTGGAACGCTTCACTTGAAATTTCCAAATAGGAAACCGCTGAAAGCACGCAAGATTGAAATTTACTTCAAAGGGTCGATGTCAGTGAGTTGGAATTAAAACCAGAATGTCCAGAAAGCTAATAAGAAATTGTTCGAGAGTACGAGAAATGAGCTGGATGGAGAAATCACGGAATTGAACTTAACATTCGAATTCAAGATCCCCAAGGATTCGCCATCTACAGTCATACCCATAAACTCTCTAAAAGCTCAAGGAGAGATTTCTTATTCTATTCGGGCAGTGATCACACAGAGACCATTAAAATTTTTAAATATGGAAAAACCTAGGTGTAAAATGGTGGAAGTTCGATGTCCTATCACTCGGTGGTCGTTACCAATTACTGCTACCGCTAGTCGCAACAATTACGAGTCACTTAACGACACCTCACCAGTAATGTTCACGAAATCGAATAAACAAGTTGAGGGTCAAATAACATTTGGCCAATCCACATTTCGGAATGAGAGTTTGGTGATGGTCCCTCTGAAACTTGTATTTCATCATTCGAATACGCATATACGCTCGTTCGCTTCAGGCAGACCACATATCAAAAAAATCTGCATGCAACTAAAAGAATATCAACGTTTAAAGGTAAAAGCGCGATATTATATGGAGAAACGATCCCTGATTTCAAGTGAATTTCCTCCCTCTAAATTATCTTCCATACCGGATGCGCCTGACGAATTTCATATGGAACTAAAACTAGATACAAGTCTTGCTGATTGCAAATACCCGATAAATTCTGCTGCGCAAACGGAGATGGTTGATGTATGGCATAAATTGAAAATTAAGGTGTGCATGAATAATGCCAAGGATCTAACGTTTGAAAAAAAGATCACATTGGTCAATGCGATCTGCGAAGAAGAGGCCAAACGGATCGTGTTTGGGTGGCCATCATTAGATCCTGAGTGGAGGTATGAGGATTTGACATTGGAATGATGTTATATAGAAAGAGATAAAACTCGAATTATATGATTTATTTGATGTTGAGTAACTGACGAGTTGGCAGTGAAGTATTCTTTACTTGGTTATTCAATTATCCATAAATACTATAAAATGATATTGTTACAACCTATTCCATAATATAATATGAAATCAATAAATCCGATGTCCTGTTTTTGAAAGGGACAAACAAATGCATCGATCGTCTGAAATCCAAGCAGGACTTTCATAGAATAATTTTGCCAATCAGAAAGTAATTATTAATTCAGTCTAGAAAGGGTACGACCCTGGCACAAATTATGAAATAGCATATATAGATCCAGATCAATTCAAACCCATGTCTCTCTAATATAAAAGAAAGAGATCAAGAGAAAAGGTAGGTAATATGGGAAACTATTGATAAAAAAATTTTTAGTGCGATCCGGTTCGACGTTTCTAACTACGCTTTATGGCGATTTTTCTATTTTTTAAAAAAATATTCCTTTCTACAAAAAGAATGTTCTCTGTTGTATCGAAAAATTTACCGCAGACTCTACATCCAAAGGTGCTTCACTTATTATTGAAGACAGAAGTCTAAAGATAGTACAGTAAACGCCAGAACTGAAACTACTCATCTGTGATGTAACGAATACTACGAGTCGTGAACGATCACCCGCGAGATGCAAAACCAAATATGGGTAATTACCATGCATGCAAAATCCGTATGGAAAATAGACATGTTTTCTAAATCTGCTTAGGATTTATTTTAACGCGTGTCAAAAGCCTTGAATGTTAATCGCATCATACATTTCATTTGCTGTGTACTGTATCTAAAAAATCACCAATAAAGTATGGCAATCATGTGACTTACTACTGTATATAAAAAGATTGACGAACGCGCCTAAATTTTTGTACTTTCAAATATTTCACCTTTTCTTGCCCCGAATATACAGTATATACTAAACGGTGTTCGTGTCATATGTCGTAATAATCGCAGCAGACGAAAAGTGGAAGAAAGTCACCTCCGTTTTCAACAAGGGAACGTTAAAGGCAAGTTCATTTATTACATTTAAGCTTGTTATTAGTATATAGAGATAGGGAAGGAGTTGGGCTACGTGTCGAAACAACCACCTAAGTGGTCTGGCTACGCGTCGGGCTAGGAATGGGTTAATATATCCGGTGGGCTCCTCCTAAGTCTGTGTGAAGGCCAAAGGCTAATACGTCTTAGCGCCAAGAGCTACGTGTTCATTCACAGTCTCTAATGGCTCACTTTTGCCTCCTTCCTATTTGACATAATAATTCTAATTATTCTTCTCATTCTTCGGTAGCTTCGAGCACAAAGTGAAGAAGTAAAATCGTTTTGGACAAATGTTGAAATAGAAAAAAATCGAATCAGAGAACAAGTTATTGGAGCTGAGAATAAATCAAACTGAAGTATGTGGTGTATATTAAGAAACTAAGTACCAATTTGTGCAAAGAAATGTTAACTTTGTGTTTTTTAATCGTTTGTAGGTTCGGTTTTCTGTTGGTCGTACTCTGGTGGAAAATGAGGTTCATAGAATCTTCGACCATGGATTATTCCTTGAACCCAAATAAGAATAGTATCGGAAAGCATTTAGCAAACGACAAAGGTACGTAAGATGCACATTCATACAAACATCAGCGTGAGATGAACCCTACGAATCGAAAAGACAAGGTAGTTGTATCTTCCTCAGTTTTAGTATATTAGCATACAACATGAATTTCCTTTTTCCAGTCAAAAAGTGGAAGAAAGTCACTTCCGTTCTCGGCAAGGACACGCTAAAGATAGGTTATTTATTACATTTAAACATGGTATTGGTATACTGTATATAGATAGGAAAGTAGTTGGGCTATGTGTCGAAACAATCGCCAAAGTAGCCTGACTACACGTCAGGCTAGAAATATGTCAATCTCTAATGAACCATTTTTGCATCTTCATATTTTAATATAATAATTTTGTATATTGTGATTCAACTGTTATAAAATTACATCAAAAAATTTTTTAATATGAAATTCTTTATTGTTTATTGTAACGGGCAAACGGCAAGTCTGTCACTAATGCCAAAAAAGGTTCGTGTGACCATTACTGGTGTTTTTAAGGTAACAAATAGGTTATTTGAGGTGCATGACTTGGTCGAGTTCTTCTCACTTCTCACATTACTCTTTTTTTATTAATAATATTGTCTTCCTTACTTATACATTTTCATTAAATAAAATGAACTGGTTACACCAAATATGGAATAATGTACTTTTATTTTAGCTTGATTATATAATGATTATAGAACAACTTTTACAACATCATTGTCGTCACTCACAGTCATTATATTGACTGGTTGTGACGGGATCAGATCTCGCGCTATTCAGAATATATCAGTCACGTGACTACACAGTATTGTTGTTATTTACGTAGCGTGTACAGATGGGTGACACAAAATTGAGATAATTTTTATAGCCAAAAAAAAAGTGACGCATATTTAAATCTATTTTTTATGTAATAAAAAATAATTCACCAATGCATTGTATAATCTTTTTTTTAATTATTTTTTTTTTTTTTTTTAAACTAGCTTAACCTTGCTTAGCAAACTTTATTAAAGTCAATATTTACATATATTCGTAC